GGCGAGGCTGCCGGACACTGGCGCCACCGGGCCCTCTGACCACCACCAGTAGGCAACGGGTGAAGTGTCTTGCCCACGGACACAACGACTGACACTGGCCAAGCCGGGCTCGAACCGGCAACCTTCCGGTTACAAGGTGAACTCCCAACTATGTGGGGAAAAATAGGATGACACACTGTAAAAAATGCTCCACAGCAAAGAAGAAAAAGTCTGTCGTAAAATCAGAGTGTTTGATATGCAGGAATCTACCACAGCTGAATATTTTTTTTATTTATTTTGTGTTTTTTTTTTAAACTGAGAGCATTTTGTGTTGTTGAAATTTGAGCGTGCTATTAAATATTGATGTTATCACACACCTGATCAAATAGCAGTAAGTGAAGTGAGATTTAAAACTTCTGTTTATTGTTACGTTTGATGTGATTAACTGTGAGTGAAGAGACAAAGACAAGAGTGAGAATATTAAACATGTTCATTTCATTAAAGACACGTTACTGTATCCTTGTAAAAGCTGTGGTTATGTTTAAGTTCATTATTATTCTACAAACCTTAAACTGACAACAAAAATAAATGTGCTATTAGACTGTAGAGTATATGAGACTTGTGTGGTTGAAGGTCATAAGCTGGAGCAGAGTAGCACAGAGTTGCACTAATCCTCAGTAGTTGTGTTTAAATACAATTTCTAAGAAATAAAGTGATTTTAGTTTTTGTGTGTTTATGACTGTAATTAAAATCATTTAGATTCTTTACATATTACTCTCTACAGTCTGTATCACTGAAAAATAAACACCAATCAGGACACAATGGTTGGAAACATGTTGCTCACAGTGTGAAGCTTCAATAATTTTGTCACTTTTATCAACAAAGCGCTGCAGAAACATCAACATCTGTCTGTCTTTCTGACAGACCATCGTATCTGAGAACGAGAAGGATGAAATCATTCAGAAGCTGATGGAAACATTTCCTACACTGGAATCAAAGGTCAGTGAAAGCATCGCTCAGAAGACAGAGGTGGGGGTGGGGGGTGTCATAATGCTGAATTTGTATGTGACTGTGTCCTCCAGATGTGTAAAGCTCAGGTGAAGAGCAGAGGACATCGTTACTAATTACTGATCACTTCTCCAAAAACCTAAACCTATCACATTACTCGTTACTTGAAAATGTAATCGGATTACGCGTTATTGCCCATCTGTGCTCAGCACACTCTCTGAGTACTCGTCCTTGAATGTTGTCCTGCTGCCTTTCATACACTCACTCTCCTCAGAGTTTTACAGACATCAGTCACTCTGAGATTCAGGGTTTTCTCATCAGGG